TACATTACAAGCACTTTTTTTTACGAATTTAAAATATTTTAAATATTTTCTGAACAATACATTTAAATTTTTTTTTTACCGTTAAAATTAAGGCCGTAGCCATTATCAACCAATCAATCAACCAACCGACCATAATAATAATAATAATAATAAAAATTATCAAGCATAAATTTATAATATACAATAATTTAAATATTTAGTTTTCTTTTTTTTCTTTGGTTTTATTATTATTATTATTATTATTATTATTATTATTATTATTATTATTATTATTACGATTCGACAAAACGAAAAAAAAAAAAAAAATAATTATTTATAAATCCTACGGACGAACGGACGGACACACAAAGTTAATAAATTATTTATTTATTTATTTTTTATTAAATTTTAATAAAATTTCGTTATGGCGACAGACCCAAAAGTCAGACCCAAATCAATTGTGTTGACATTTTTACATTTTTTTTTAAAACTATTTATCCAAAATGATCTAAAAACAATTTCAATTATTTCACAGCAAAATGCAATAAATAATAATAAAATTACAAAATAACTAAAATGGACGGTACATAAATTAATAATATTTATTAATAATAATAATAATAATAATAATAAAATGAAAATTGTACTCGAGATTTGTGAGAAGGCGTTAAGAGTAATTATTATTATTATTATTATTAAAAACATTTGTAAAAAAATAAAAAAATAAATTCATTCATTCATTCATTCATTCATTCATTCAATTAAATATTATTTTTCAAGCAAGTGATATTTTTTTTTTTTTTATGTAAAAAAAATATACAAAAGTTTATATGAGTAAATGTAAAAAAAAAAATTTAAGAGTTTGTTGTCAGCTACTACAAATCTACGACAATTAAAAAAGGCTTTTAAAAATTAATAATAATAATAATAATAATAATAATAATGATAACATTGATTTAAAATAGCTTATAACAAATGAGCAGCAGCTAGCTTTAAATAATTGTGAATTATAAAAAAATAAGCATATTTCGATTTCACTCTTAAACAATTAACATGAGATTCATTATTTGTAATTAGAGCCCAAAAACAAACAAAATGATTTCATTGCAACGATTTAAAAAATATAAACGATTGTATCTCTCTTTTTTTTTTTTATTTACTTAACAGAATTAAACATAGCCTCCATTGTGATTAGGATTTTCATCCATTTGTACGACTAAATTTTTACTTTCTTTTTTTATTTCATAATTTTTTCTAGCATCCTGAAAAAAATCAAAATAAAAAAATCAAAAAAAGAAAGTTAGAAATTGAGGTTATGGTTGAAAATTAATTTGATAGGTTACCAAATATATAAAAAGTGCAGCAACTCCATGAAACATAAATGCTAAACAAGCGAAACCATATGACCACGATAAATAATTGTATGTGGGATACATTAACCAGTCTCTACGCCAAGATTGTCCACCGAATATTGCCACTGCGAGAAAAAGTAAGGCAGCTGCGGAAAAAAAATAGTTTTTAGAAATCGAGCATTTAAACATTTAAACCTTTTTTTTAGTTTTTTTTTTTTTTTTATACCTGTTAAAGCACTACACACAAATGCTATGCTTGAAAATAAATATTCATATTTTAGTACAATTTTTAAAGGCCATCGTATTAATTCCAATGCGACAATGATTTGTGTTATGAATGAGAGAATTAATCCTAATGTGACGAAAGCTTGAACGACCATCAACCAAGCTAAAAAGAAAAAAACAATGAAAACAGAATTGTTTTTCGATTTATCAAGTTTGACTCTTGAAATAAAATATCTTTTTCACTCATTCATTTGTGATTAGGACAACATAAAATAATTATCGAATGAATGTACTACTAAAATTAATTTATGTACCTGGTAAAAGCCAATCTCTTATTACATAGTATTCATGACTGAATATATAATGGCATCCATTAAATACTTTATCAAACGGATAATAGGGATAACGAAATTCTTCAAAGCAATATTCCCATAGTCCCATGTGTTTAAATTCGCTAAAAGTTTCTTGATAACTTTGAATCCAATAGGGGCTCGCGAATGACATTAAAAGTAACATTCCCCCTATGTAAGTAATTATGCCACCAAATACGAGCGCATCTAAAAATATACATATTTCTTTTTATAAATAATAATAATAATAATAATAGTAAAACATTAAAATTTTTATTGATTTTTTTTGAAATAAATAAATTTTTAGAGCAAAGACACGCCCTCAATAAAAATTAAAATAAATATATATATATATTTTTATGAAGTAAAATTATTCATTTCTTACTGGATGCTTTGTGGTATTCGTTTCGAGCCACCATTCCAAAATATAATAAAAATTTTTTTTATAAAATAAGAATTTTAATCGTCGTTCGTTTGTTTTTTTTTAAGTATATAGTTATGTTGTGTCAATGATTAATCCATAGCACAAAACAAATAACATTGTTGCCAACATAAAATTTTAACCGCCAACACGGTTTCCATTAATCTGACGTAAAACGTTATAAATTTTTAATTTCTTATTTGTGGTTTTTTCTTTTTTTTTTTTTTCAAAAAATTATTTAATAAATTTCAGTTTGGTTCGAACCTACGGATATATTTCGTGCATCGAAACCTTTCGATATAAAAGAAAAACGTTATCCGACATTTATTTCACCGAATTATCAAGAATTTTTAAAAATCTATAAAACTCTTTATCCAAAAGGGGGTGGTGATGATGATGATAATTCATTTTCAAAAAATTCACGTAACATCGTAGAAGATTGCATTTACAAAGGATATAAAGTGGGTGAAATAATTGACAATTTAATAATAACATTGGGAAAAGAAGGAGTTTTGGTAAGTGAAAAATATTTAATCGATAAATAAAATAATAATAACCAAACGACAACCAAAAAAAAATTAATTTCAAGGTAATCAATAAGGGAGAAGAAAACGATTCCTTTTATGAAATCACAAAAAAATGTTCGAAATATATAAAAAAAAATGGTCAAATCTCACACAGACTTTACAAACCGAAATTATTAGATGATGATGATATCGTCAATGTATCTGGTGCTGGAGATTGTTTTGCTGGAGGTTTTATTTCTGCCATGCTCGATGGAGAAAATGAAAAAAATTGCGTTAAATTAGGATTTAAATGTTGCATTGCATCACTTAAATCATGTCAAACAGTTCCATCAACGTTTTATTAAAATAAAAGGTATTTATTATAAATAATTTTATTTACTTTTTTTTTTTAAATATTAATTTTAAATTTGTACTTTTATAATATACAACTAATCTAACAAAAATTCATATAATTT